TGGTCACATCATTCAAAGTAGTAATTTGCTGATAAATCCTGCTGGTAATCACCCACTTGGAACTATTAGAATGGTGAATTTTTCCATTTTTGACCCCTCACTGTTGCAACTCTTTTATCTTAAGGGTTCTGGAATGAACATGTGTGAAATGTTTTTAATATCTTCCAAATAATACTGAACAACAAGCTGAAGTTCCAGGTACATAAATGCTGGTTTTATTGTTGTTTGAACTGAGCTTAGGTTGGGGGAAAACACAGGGCAGCAGAATATTTAGAAAACTACAAAGACAAAGAAAGTGCTACTTCATTCCTCTATCACCTTTAGAGAGAGATAATATTTTTAGATTTTATCTTAAGGGTTCTGGAATGAACATGTGTGAAATGTTTTTAATATCTTCCAAATAATACTGAACAACAAGCTGAAGTTCCAGGTACATAAATGCTGGTTTTATTGTTGTTTGAACTGAGCTTAGGTTGGGGGTCACTGTGACCCTTACTTCTGATCAGGACAAAACCATGGTCTTTGCAAATCTAAGATGCAGGGCTATGTTGCTGGTCATTGTCTCATTGTGTTGCTCATGGGTGGGAGTGTGAGATTTTCTTAGCATTTTGCAGAGCTCTGCAATTAAAATCTTTAAAATCTTTGTCACCTTCCAGCTGAAGCTCTCTGCTGCTGTGACAGACTGCACTTAGACATCTGCATGTAGCCAATCAGAAAGCAGCTGATCGTGGTTTCAGCTGTTGATATATACAGTCTAGTCACTGACCACGAGAGTACACACTTACTGTATCTTGAATGACTGAACCCAGCTTTTCAATCCACAACAGCAGTGGGGGTTGAAGAACTGAATCATCCAGATAACCTTAGCTAGCATTAGAAAATCCAGGATTGCTCATTTGATCTGGGATCTGTTTATCAGTGTACAAAGAGAGAGGAGTTAATCAGGCACAGATGTAAACCAAATGTAACAGTCTGTTCCTCTATTGCCAGTTTTCATATATCTGTCATTCCACGTTCTTCCTGATTTGTATCAATTTCACAGTCTGTTCAAAGAGATCATGGTACAGAGAGGAAAAAGACATGGCTTGAGGAAATAGGACAGTGGGCCAGAGGTGGAGAGATGTGTAGCTTATCAGCTGATCCCAGGGGCTGTACAGCTGGTGTGGAGGAAAAATGGGGATGAGGCAGGACAGATATAGAACAAGGTTAAAGGGGGACATGCTCTCAGGCTGTTCTCTCTGCTTCCCCAACATTTAACCTCATTCTGTCTCTCAGGTCTGACAGACCTCACTGCGGCTACAAGCTGAAACAAGGGGAATGATTCAGGGCCTTGACAGGAAACTTATGAACTGTTGCCAAAGCTATTAGTCTTCAGACAGGGAGTGGCCTTTCACTTTTCCTGCTTCCAGTCTTACTAACTGTCAAACCCGCCACTTGGATCCTTTATGGTTCACTCTGCTTAACAGTATAAGATAAACTGTGAGTAGAGTTAGTAACTCAGTCTTTAACTGTAGTTGAAATGTCAGAGCAACATTGACAAGTTGCTTTTAACAGCAATTTAACAAAGATAAAAAGAGAAAACAAGTGTCACAAGGTCTGAATATGGAATTAAGTTAGTCTATTCTCTGAAAAGATAGTCGTGGCAGGACAAGAATGACTAATGAACCTTTGTTAAAGTTTAATTAATCTTACATCTGATAACGTCTGTGACCTCGACTATGAAATTAGATGGCAGCTGCGTTCTATCTAAAATCAAATCAAATCAAATTTTATTTGTATTGTGCCAAATCACAACAAAAGTCATCTCAGGACACTTTACAAAGTTAGGTCTAGACCTTACTGTTATCACTATTATTACAGAGGGTTTTGTATGTTAGGAGAAGGATTTTAAATTCCATTCTGAATTTTACAGGGAGCCAGTGGAGAGAAGCTAATATAGGAGAGATATGATCTCTCTTGCTAGTTCCTGTCAATACTCTGGCTGCAGCATTTTGGATTAACTGGAGGCTTTTTAGGGAATTATTGGTACATCCTGATAGTAAAGAGTTCCAGTAGTCCAGCCTGGAAGTAACAAATGCATGGACCAGTTTTTCAGCATCACTTTGAGACAGGATGCTCCTGATTTTTGCAATATTGCGCAGGTGAAAGAAGGCAGATCTAGAGACTTGGTTTATGTGTGATTTAAAGGACATATTCTGATCAAAGATGACTCCAAGATTCCTCACAGTAGTACTGGAGGCAAGAGCTATGTCATCTAAAGTAACTATATGATTAGACAGCAGATTTCTAAGGTTTTCAGGCCCAAGCACAATGACTTTGGTTTTGTCAGAGGCTAGAAGTAAGAAGTTACAGGTCATCCAGGCCTTTATGTCTTTAAGACATGCTTGAAGTTTGACCAGCTGACCTGATTCATTTGGCTTCATAGATAAATATAACTGAGTATCATCTGCATAGCA